TATATATATATTTTTTTTTTTTTGTTTTTTTGTTGGTCTTCTAAGAATATTATGTAAAAATCCTTAATGTTTTACGTATGTTCTGAATTTTACATTTATACTATACCTATTTGTTTTGTTTTTCTCAGGGGATTAGAAGAAAAAAAATATTGTTCATTAATTTTAAGACACATTCAATTATGTAACCTGGTTACTATGATAAATTATTACAGTCTGGCATCATTATAATTCCAATTAATATTGACAAATGCATATAATTAAATAACATCAATTCTTTCTCATATATAAATTTTTGTCGGGAGGAACTAGGTAATCCAAAGTTAATTATGAGATAGTTTCCTCATTACCGGATTGAGGGATCAGTTATTTACATGTTATGACAAACTAATAATTTAGTCCCGCACGTGTTTTTCAGGATCTGAAGAACATGTGCAAATAAAGGAGATGGATGGATGGAAGAAGCACCAAATAGTTTATACAGTGAAGAGTGGAACATGTTTTGTGAAAGTAGTGTTAATTTGCTTTCAACTTCATTTATTTTGTAGTATTTGTACTCAAAGTTTTAAGGCACATGTTCACTTCTGATTCATGTATCTCGTTGTCCTGCTTGTGTTGTGGTTTTCTAACTGCTGGATATGCAGAGACAACTTTTACGCCATTTATATAATGTAATAAATAAATACTTTGAATTGTGCTTCCTTTTTTCTTTTTTCTTTTTTCACTTTTACTGGTGTACCATCGAACAGGTACACAAATATAAGTTGTTTTCATTGAAATATGTCTATATTCCGGTCTAGAATATTTAACATTTTTCTATTTATGTATATACAGGTCTAGAGAGAATATTAATAGTATAAATAACTTTTTAAAATATGTTATTAACTTATAATTATTAAAATTATATAATATATATATATATGTATATATATATATAATTAATTTATATATTTAATTCTTCATTAAATATAACTAAGTCTATTCAACTCAATTAGATTTAGCAATTAGTCTTATAAGAATGACACAGTTAGTTAAATATCTTCCTTCACCTCTATTAATTAGGACCTAGATTTGACCTTATTTAAATCGTGTTTTGTCCAAACTTTTTTTTTTAAAAAAAATATCTAACAACTATAAGATTGAAAGACTAATATTAATATATTAAATGTAAAAAAGAAATAGAAAAAATATTATATAATTAAGTCTAACTTAGGTTAGAAAAGTTCATGTAACCGCTGTAGCATTGCATGCCCAATGTCGTGCAACACATACATTTGTGCCAAGACATCACATCACAGTCCACAACTCAATTCCACATCACATACACAACTAACATTTCCACATAAAATAATAAGTCATACACATATCTTGCACAACCTCCTCATACACATCAATCTTTTAATTCACAACTATTAGTGGATTATTTTAAGAAAAGGGGTCAAACAAAGTTAACCCTATCTATGTCATTTTGTGTTTTGAAGGGTTATGAGAGATAGAGAGAAGAAACAAAGAGCTTTGAGGATGAGTGTTTAGCAGGTGTTTGGAAAGGATTTCCAAATGGCATCAGAATATTTGGATTAACGCAATCAGGTATGGGAAAAATGGGATTTTTGTATGTGAAGTCACATGAGGGAATGGTAAAAGGAAAGTTCCCTAGGATTTTGGCAATTTATATTTGTTTTTATTTGGATGCCTAATGATTCTGATAATTTCTTTGTGGACTTGTGAGTGTATTTTTTGATATAGATATTAAAATAGATGTTATGAGAGAGAGATTGAGTTGTTTGTAATGTTCATGTGAGTTAGGGTTCAATAGGGATTGAAGTTTTGTTAATTGGTATGTTGTCTTGTTAAATTGATTATTCAATCGGATTTTATATTTATTTATAAATATGGTTATTATATTATTTGGTGAAATTGATAATCTAGATGATAATTGAATTCATTGGGATGTGCTCTTTAAGTTAGGATTCTTGTAAATTAATGAGTACCCTTAATTAAATAAATTAATGAGTAATAGAGAGATTTTACTTATGGATGTACCTTAGTATTTTTGTAATATTTTTTTGTGTGATTAACCAAATCAATTTCCTTATGAATCATAACTGATCCCCGAGGATCTCGCCCCAGACGAGATCCGTTATCTAATCATATTACACTTCGTCTCAAGCCCAAGGCCCAAAGCAACCCTAAATCACACCAAGGTACGTGCATTACATACACGAGACTATTACTCATACAAACGCTAACTTTAGCATCGGAGTCTCTTTTGCAGGTACCACCCCCATCTTGGAGCACCAACGTACCCGTGAAGGAGGCTCACCGATCTTACCAGGCAGATCAACTCTACAGCAGATTTCCGGTAAGAACACATACTATTATGGATTTGGTACTATAATAGATGACTTGTATTATTTCAATCTTGATGTAAAGTTTAAAGAATCCTTATTTAATGTTGAGTGTGTTGTTAGTGGCAAGCATAATATACATGATGATAGTTTTGGTTATTTGCGGCATCAAAGATTAGGTCATAATTCTAAAGAAAAGATAACGAGATTAATGAAAAATGAAATTTTACCTCAATTGGATTTTAGTGACTAGGATATATGTTTATATTGTATTAAAGGAAATCAAACTAAACAAATATCAAATAATTTTGCTACAAGAAGTAATGAACTTCTAGGATTGATACACACTAATATTTGTGGACCTTTTGACATTCGATCCTAGGACGGTGAAAAGTATTTTATCACCTTTATTGATGACTTTTCATGTTATTGTTATTTATATCTACTACATGAAAAGTCTCAATCAGTGGATGTCTTAAAGGTGTTACATTTATTATGTATTAACGTTGGGGTAGAGGGTGTCACAGAAAAATTGTTCCACCAACCTCTCTTTTGTAGATATAAAGTTAAATGTTGTATTAATTATTATGCTAAAAAAATTTCAATTGGTTTCTATAGAAACATATGTTTTAACGAATAATAAATTAAAAGCAAAAATGTAATGAATACATAGTTAAATTTGAAATAATTTAGAAAAACTTAATTTAAATAATAATTATGGATAAAAATTAAGAAACACATTATTAAATATATGAGTCTACCACCATATTCTGAATTTGGTTATATTTTATAGTATAGAAATTCCAAAACATGTATAAAGTAAATCTCCATGTCTGATTACACGTTGTCAATTAAACAAAACCAAACTCAAAACAATTACATAAAACTAAGGCTTAAGCCTCTTTTTCAACGTCATCAACCACAAATGGCGCTTAGTCAAAAAACAAACAACACAGATAAAAGAGTAAGATACATCTTGCTACATATTTTTGGTGTGAAAATGAAAGTCAGACAGCACACAAGCATATAAATGTTTATATCAATTCAAAATAATACACATTTCAAAACAGTTACTCATGTGATGTAACGTGAATCAACATTCTAATGCATTTGTTGTCATTTTAAGTCTTAATTTACATGAAAAAGAAGCACAGGAATACACGTGAGTCGACGAACACTACATCATGGTCATTCAATACTATCATTCTCAACTAAGATGATATTGCTAGCAATATGACACCTCGTAATTAAAATGTATATAAAAAAAATATTTTGAAATTAATTGGGTTTTTATAAGACAATAGTTTAAAATAGAATAAAAAAATTACTTTGTGAGAAATTAAATGTTTTAAACTATTGAACTTTGATCTCAATTAGTTCAATAGCATTTGGTTAATTAAGATAGAGTTTATTAGCTATCTAACCTAATACTATTATTTTTTGTTTGGCTCTTGGAAATATTTTATTTTCATTACCATAAAATGACATTTCTCATAATTCATAACAATATCAGTCTCAATGCATCTATGCAAAATTCTATCCAGACTATTCAAACATGCATCAAATGAGAATCTATAAATAGTTAAATCATCTATAAACACCTCCATGCAACTCTTTAGAAAATCATCACTAAAAAATGCTTACCATACACTACTAGAATGTACGAGAGGCGTTGCACAAGTCAAAAGGCATCCTCCTATATGCAAAGGTGTCAAAGGGGTAGGTGAATGTGGTCTTCTCTCCTAATCCTCAAGAGCAATATGAAATCAGAAATAGCCAGAAAATCCATCAAGGAAATAATAGTGAGATTTACCTGCCAGATGCTCAAGCATTTGGTCAATGAAGGGTAGAAGAAAGTGGTTCTTTCTTGTTGCTTGATTTAGCCTTCTATAATCAATGTAGACTCTCCAATTGTTTTGCACCCTTATTGGAATCAGCTCATCTCTGTCATTCTTCACAACTGTAATTCCTATTTTCTTGGGAACTACTTGGACTGGACTCACCCAATGACTATCAAATATGGGGTATATAATTCCAACTTGAAGGAGTTTGGTAACTTCCTTCTTCACAACATCCAGAATCACCGGGTTGAGTCTCCTATGAGATTGTCTCACTGATTTAGTTCCATCTTCTAAGAGTATCCTATGCATGCATGTGGATGGGCTAATACCAGGAATGTCAACTAAGGTCCAACCTATAGCTCTCTTATGCTTTCTAAGCACGAGCAACAACTTCTCCTCTTGCTGAGCATCTAGGGAGGTGGACACAATCACAGGGAGCTTGTCATCATCCTCCAAGTATGCATACTTGAGATTTTTAGGCAGAGGTTTAAGCTCCAAGATGGGTGGCTGCATAATGGAAGGAACAAGACTAGTTGACAATGAAGCTACAACTTGCACCTCAACAAGTAGGTCAAATTCATGCACATGTGCATAATCAGAATGTGTATCAGTACTCATATCAGTATCAGCATTAGTATCAATATTCAGAAACTGATCAATGCAAGAACTACACAATTCAGAATCAGTACATGTAAGACAAGTGAAAGAACTTTTTAGAGGTGGGAAATCAGCATCATGAAAGAACTCAAGCATATGTTCATTAATTAATTCATCAAACAGATCAGCATGAAAAACAGAATGGTCCTCAGATGGATGTTTCATAGCATCATGAATGTTAAATCTAACCACACTATCATCAAACTTCGTAGAAAGTGTACCATCATGGACATCTATCTTGGTTCGGGTTGTATTTAAAAATGGTTTGCCTAAAATATTGGGTACTGCACCATGAAAATATCCTTCTTCCATACACAACACATAAAAATCAACAGGAAAAATGAGTTTATCAACCCAAACCAAGACATCCTCTATAACGTCAACAAGGTGGGAAGTACTTCTATTTGTCAATTGAATCACCACACATGTGGGTTTTAAGGGTCCAATGAAAAGAGAATTGAAAGCAGACACAGGAATAACATTTATTGAAGCTCCTAAGTCTAGCATGACATTTTCAAATTTTTTGTCAACTATGATGCAAGGTATAGTAAATGTGCTAGGATTCTTACACTTCTCAAGAATATAAGGAACAAGCTTACCTATGAGTGCAAACACATTTCTTCCCATATTGATCCTTTCATTACCTTTCAGCTTTCTCTTATGAGTGCACAACTCCTTCAGGAACTTGGCATACCTTGGTATTTGCTTAATTGCATCCAAAAGAGGTATATTCACCTTAACCTTTCAGAAAACATCCAGAATCTCTTTATCTACCTCTTCCATCTTCTTGCTTTGAACTACTCTTGGTGGAAATGGAAGGGGGATAGAAAATTTTTGGTGTTGGTTTGTTGAAGG